GCGGGGGCGGCTCAGTGCGGCGCGGGGCGGCCCGCTCCCTCCGGCGGCGGCGGCGGCGGCGGTGGCGGCCTCCCGCCCGGGATCATCCCCGCCCGGCCCGGCCCGGCCCCGATCCTCCTCGGGCGACGGCGGAGGCAGCGGCGGAGCGGGGAGCTGCCCACAATGCACTGCGCCGCCAGCATCAGCACCAGCCCTGACATCACCACCCCACCGCCCGGCTCTTACATCACCGCCCTCTCTCTGACATCACATTCCACTCCGCTCTTCTCGCCACGCCGGCAGCCTTAGAGCTCTCCTTCGGATGGTCCCGCTTCAGCTCTTCGGTTCTCCTCACTGGTTATTGCCATTTACTTGACCGCCACCCCGCCCCCACCCCTGCAGTGCCCCATCACTCCTTACTTGTCCCCATAAAACTCACCTGTCTCCATCACCCCTTATCTTTTCCCCTCCCAGTCACTCCTTGCCTGTCCCTATCAGCCTCAACTGATTTCCGCACCGCATCTTCCATGTGTTCATATTACCTGCTTCTAAACTCCGCTCCCCTCACCTGTATCCATCCTCCCACAGTTCCCGTCCGCCATTTCTTCTCACACGTCCCTTGCCTAGAACTCACCACTCCACACATAGGCCTTACCTCCTGGCTCAACCTGTCCCTCTCTGTCTTTGGCCCTCTCCCCCATCTGTTGACAAATTCTGTCAAGCAAATTTCTTATTGCTTACAAATTGGATGCACACTCTTTACCATGACATTAAATAGTCTTCCCAACATGGGTAATAATACCGTATAGAGATTATTACCACCCTTCTGACAAATTTGATTGCTCAGCATTCCCTGAACATACTTTGCACTTTGTCTCTCTCAGGTCCTTCCTTCCATCCTTTGTGCCTTCAACAAATGCATACTGAGTGCCTTCACTAACAACAACAATAATAATAGCAGCAACTATCTACTCCTGCCAGACATTGTTCTAACTTACACATATTAACTCGTATAATCCTCATAATAACCCAGTGACATAGCAGTACTAATGTTATACCCATTTTATAGATGAGGAAACTGAGATACAGATAGGTTGAGTAATTTGCCTTAGGTTACAGAGTCACCTTGAATACAGCAGAGCTGGTATTCAAACCCTGGCTTCAGATTCAGAGTCCATGCTCCTAACCACGATGGAAGGGCCATTGAGTCAACAAGGCCATTCAGAGGAGGCTTCTTGGAAGAGGTGCGTTCAACTGTAATTTGAAGGATTAGTTATTTTCCAACAGGTAAGTGGGGCCAGGGCAGAGGGTGGGAGAGGCTCCCAGGCTGAGAAGAGGGCATGAGGTGATCTGGGGGTGGGCCTGTACAAGATCATGAAGGGCACTGTGCACTATGCCAAGAAGACTGGATTTTCTCCACTTAGTTTTTGAAAATATAGTGGATAATGTCACAAGCCATCCAAATCCCCCTTCAGAATCTAGGTACTCGTTCCTCCGCCTGCCTGGGATGCTGTAGTCTGAGCACTCTAAGCTGACTCTTTTTTCTGGAAATTGCCCCTGGCCAAGGGAGCTGCCTCAACTCAAGATCATGAACCCTTTCTGGGGCAACCGATATCTGATTGATGATCAACCTGTGAGGACAAAGGCCTGGCCCCCTCGCCCCAACTCAAGACAGCTCTGAAGGGACATCCACTTTCAAAACTGCTGAGAGGGTCACCCGAAGCTTTATTGAGGCTGCACTGAAGCTCCGCCCAGCCCTGCTTTCTTTACTCCACAGATGTTGATCCCCAGAGTCCCTCCCTATCAACCTCCTGCGTGATCCTCTCTGTCTCAGAGTCAATGTCCAAGGGAATTGGACCTTCACACAGGAAATCACTGAAGATCAAGTCTGATCCAAGTATTGAGTTAGGATTCTAGGTGGACAGTCTTATCCCCAGTCCTATAAAAATGTCACTCACCTCTCCTCTAGCTTGCATTGGTTCTGTTGGGAAATCTACACTTATCCTTGTCTTTGTTTCCCTGTATGTAATGTCTGTTACTCTTCTGGCCACATTTAAGACTTTCTCTTTATCACTGTTTTTAGACCTGTTTGATTATAATGTGACCTGCCATAGTTTTTGTTTCGTTTTCATGTTTCTTGTGCTTGGGGTTTGTATCTGTGAATTTATAGTTTTCATCAGGTTTGGGAAAATTTCAGCCATTATTTTCTCAAATATTTTTTCTGCCTTCTCTTTTTTCCCAGAGACTCCAATTAGCCTGTTTATGAGGCCACTTGAGTTTCCCATAGCTCACTGATGCTTTGCTCATTTTTCCCCCAGTCTTTTTTTCTTACTGTGTTTTGTATCTGTGTGTTTTTTTTAAGATTTTATTTTTAAGTAATCCCTACACCCAACATGGGGCTCGAACTTACAACCCTGAGATCAAGAGTCACATGCTCTACCAACTGAGCCAGCCAGGCACCCCTGTTTTGTATAGTTTCTGCTGCTGTGTATTCAAGTTCATTAATCTTACCTTTTGCAGGTGGTATTAATCCCATTGGATGTATTTTTCATTCTAGTATGCATCTCTAGAAATTCAATCTGGGTCTTTAAAAAATCTTTCATGTTCAATTTTCCTTCTAATTTCTTAAGCATATGGAATAGTTATAATAACTATTTTAATGTACTTGCCTATGAATTTTATTACCTGAATGATTTCTGGACCAGTTTCAGTTGCTTTTTCTTTTCACTCTTGTTTTTCTGCTTCTTTCCATACACTAATTTTTTATTGGATGCCAAATAGTGTGAGTTTTACTTTGTTGGGTTTGGGATTTTTTTTTTTTTAATTTAATGTTTATTTATTTTTGAGAGAGAGAGAGCTCACAAGTGGGGGAGAGGCAGAGAGAGAGGGAAACACAGAATCTGAAGCAGGCTCCAGGCTCTGAACTGTCAGCACAGAGCCTGATGTGGGGCTCAAACTCACAAACCACGAGATCATGACCTGAGCCAAAGTCGAATGCTTAACCAACTGGGCCACCCAGGCACCCCTGGATATTTTTGTATTTCAGTAAATACTCTTGAGTTTTGCTCCAGGATGCAACTCATTTACTTAGAAAGTTTGATCCACTAAGTCTTACTTTTTAAGCTTTATTAGGTGGGACCTAAACAGCTTCTAGACCAGGGATAATTTTCCCCAGTACTGAGGCACAAGCCTTCAGCATAATTTACCTCATGCCCCATGCATGATGAGGTTTTTCCACCTCGGCTGGAGGGAACAGGCACTTTTTCCACTGCTGTGTGAGCTCTGGAGATTCACTTTGCTACTTTCAGGTGGTTCTTTTCCTGCCTCAGAGAGTTTCCTCACACACATGTGCTGATCTGTCATGGAGTGCCCTCTGAACATTCCAGAGCTCTCTCTTGGATCCTATGCTCTGTTCTACAAACCAGTTGCCTTGGCCTCCGTGGATTCCCCAATCGGCCTCCTCAGCTCAAGGAGACCGCTGGGCTCAGCTTGGTTCCTCCCCTCTGAAGCCCGGAAGCCCTGCAGGCAACATGGGGGAGGGGGGGACACACAGCTCACCTGGCTGTTTTCAGGTGAGCTGTTTTTCCTCTTTGCCGTCCTACACTGCCTGATGGCCAATGTTCAAACATCATTGTTTCATATATCCTGTCCAGTTGTTTTGCTTGTTAAACATGGGAGGTTATACAGCAAAGGAAACCATCAATAAAATGAAAAGGCAATTCATGGAAAGGGAGAAAATGATTGCAAATCACATATTGGTAGGGGTGCCTGGGTGGCTCAGGTCATGATCTCATGGTTTGTGAGTTCGAGCCCCACATCGGGCTCTGTGCTGACAGTTCAGAGCCTGGAGCCTGCTTCAGATTCTGTGTTTCCCTCTCTCTGCCTCTCCCCCACTTGTGCTCTCTCTCTCTCTCTCAAAAATAAATAAAATGTAAAAAAAATTTTTTTCTTAAATCATGTATCTGGTAAAGGGTTAATATCTGAAATATATAAAGAACTCATACAATTCAATAGGGGGGAAGAAAGGACAATCCACTTTAAAAATGGGCAGGGTGCCTGGATGGCTCAGTCATTAAGCATCTGACTTTGGCTCAGGTCATGATCTCTCGACTCGTGAGTTCGAATCCCACATCAGGTGAGCTCAAGCCCTGCTTTGGGTGAGCCCCGCTTTGGGTGAGCCCTGCTTCTCTTTCTCTCTCTCTCTCTGTCTCTCTTCCCCCCCTGGGATTCTGTGTCCGCTCCTTGCTCACTTGTGCCCCCCCTCAAAAAAAATGGGCAGAGCATCTAAATAGACATTTTTCCAAAAAAGACATGCACTAGCCAATAGGTACATGAAAATGTACCATACTACCCAAAGCCATCTGTAGATTGAAAGCAATCCCTATCAAGAATCCAATGACATTTTTTACAGAGGTAGAAAAAATCTTAAAAGTTATACAGAACCAGAAAAGACCCTGAATAACTAAGGTAGTCCTGAGAAAGAAGAATAAAGTGGGAGGCATCACACCTTCTGATTTCAAGCTACGTTACAAAACTACAAAATCAAAAGAGTAAGGTACCAGCATAAAGACAGACACATAACCAATGGAACAGAACTGAGAGCCCAGAAATAAGC